AGCCTGTTTATCAGTGGTGTAATGTAACGAAGTAATAATACTTCGTTACAGTACTTAAGTATTTTTTAGAATTTTAAATCTTAACTTTTAAAATTTAAAATTTTAAAAGTTAAATCTCTTTTTTGGCTAATTTTATCTGTAAAAGAAAATCTGCTTAATAATTATGCACACCTGAATATAATACATTTTTCACTTCCAGCCTTAGTGAATAATTATATATCAATTATAAATTATTAAATACAAAATTAATAGTAGTTATTAAGATTGATGTCGTTTGGAATTGGTAAAATGTGCTTGGAAAAAAATATGATCAGAATATAAACTTGCATAATAATTATGCATGCACTGTATTTTTCCTCTTCTGCTGTCGAGGTAATGCAAGGAATGTTGTGATTTGGTTGTCAAGGCAGCCAATCAGAATTTAGCAGCCTCGTCTCTGATTGGCTGGAATTATGGCATATTGTAACGCTGGTTGGTGTTGAGCACGCGAGCTGTTGGTATTTAGAGAGCACTGAGGGCGGGCATCAGGTGAGCAAGCTAGTGAAACGTTGCACGCGCAAAAGAGAAGGTCTGCTCACATCCAAAAACTTATTTTAAATGCAAAAATTGATTTTCGTGCGCTCGAAATACTTTTTTCTTTGCGAAACGAACGTTTTCTCCACAAAACTCAGATCGTGCGCGTGCAAAATATGATCTTTCGCGCGCAGAATTGTGGCAGAGATCTATGCCTATAGAATAACACGGACTTTAGGAAAGCAGGTTTGACGAATCTGGTCTATCTGGCGCTTGCCAGTTAGACTCGTGCTCATGTGCAAACAAGTGCGCGCACAACCGCGGATGATTCAGTTTCCACTCAAATCGAGTCTGGGGTGTGCGATACTGCATCGTCTGTGATAATATGGTAAGTGTTGTTGTAATGATGTGCGATTATCATCAGATCACACACAGAGTGCACACGCACGTTGATTTATTAGTCTATTAAAACTCAAAATTCAAGGCATTCTAAATTGTAGATGGCAAAAATTATTCTGTATACTTTTTATATTTATATAATTTAATATAGTTAACTTAATCTATATCACACAAAGAGTACCGTTTTTCTGCAGATATCAGCATGAACACATTTAATAATCATTTTATACTTTATATTAAGTTCAATAAAGCAATGTGACTCACATTTTAGACATAATATTGCTTGTTTTTGCTCAATTTTGCCAACGAAAATAGTTCCAAACAAAGATCACAGCACTGTTTTGCGTCTCTGAGCAATGGACGGTTTTTACTTATTGAATGAATCAGCTTTTTGAACGAATCGGTTAAAAAAATGAATCAGTGATTCACTCAGTAACACAGTCGAATGCTTGTTTCTGAATGAATCAGTCGTTTGAATGAATCGGTTGAATCTCAATGACTCACTCATTAACAGTCACTTGCTGTCACCTACTGGCGGTTTTAATTTCACATTTCTACTATTTTTTTTCATGTTTTAAATTATTTCAAATATCAGTATTCAACGTTTTATGTTAAAAACAAAACATTAGGCCTATTTATGCATCTGTAACGGCAGGTTAAATGCATCCATGTCCCCTCTGAAATAGGCCTACATTAAACTGTGTAAATACATCTAAA